TTATTCTTTTATAAAGACTAGAAACATCCGGAACATTTCTTATAACAACAAGAAACACATTTAATTAGAACCATCTAAAAATAACAACCCCAATTTTAGCAAGAGGAGAAATTCACAAGTGTCTAGAAAACCCGAAACATGTAGAGAGAGGTTATCAGAAAACCTGGAATGTGTGGAAAGAAAATAAATCCTCATTTTTTAGAAACCCCGGTCCGAACAAGAAGATCAGGTTAACATAAAACCAAGCATAACAAACCTATTTATTTACATATGCACTTACAAAGGACGAGATTAACTTATTAAAATCAGGTCTAAAATTCTGTCCTGCCCCGAAAAGCAATATAAAAGACCTAAAGAAAAAAGACTTTATAGAATTTGAACGCAAATTCAGATTTATAGAAACATTTAATAATAATGAAAACATTACAAATGATTTATTATTAAAAAATAAAAAATAAATCTAAATTGTTCCCAAACAAAAACAATAATACAAATGTCTTTGAAAAACTCTGCAACCTCAAGAAAAATCCAAATCATTCAATAACCTCACATACAGGCAAATAAATAACCTTAGAGAAATCCAGAAAAATAAAAACATAATTATAAAAAGAAGCAGACAAAGGCAGCTCTATAGTGATCATGGACAAAATCTATTATAAAAACAAAAATCCTAAAGAGTATAAGGATAAAAATATATATGAATTAATATTATATTATATATATAACTTATTATTGTGTGTGTGTGTGTTGTGTGTGTGTGTGTGTGTGTGTGTGTGTGTGTAACGTTTATATATTGGATCGGATTTTCTACATTTTTCAATCGATTTCAACAAAACTTCACAGGACTACATAAAATTACCTTGTGGTGGTTCTAACAGCGCCAAAAATGGGAAAAATATAATTGTTTTTGCACAAAATCAATTTGAAAACACGATTAAGAGACATCGTGAAAATGGAAGGGGACAACTCACATCGGGTTGTTTGTGTGTGTGGGTTCCTTTAAATATGGGATCGGATTTCCTATATTTTTCAGCCGATAAAACAAAAACTTTTTTTTTTTTTTTTGGCAGGTAGTATTTCTTATTCTCTTGCACACTTTTTTCTTTATTTTTTTAACATTCAGAATGCTTTAAAATTCCATTTACAAGACAATTATTTATAATAAAATTCTATTCAATTGGGAGACTCATAACGATTGAAAACAATGTTTTTTTGTTTGAGTTTTGGGTTTGACCAATTCAAAAAAAAAAAAAAAAAAAAAACTAATTAAGACATGCGTGTCCGTCAACCTTAAACAATAATCTAACGATCTCTACTGATTGTACGAATACAAACATCGGATAAATTCTTTATCTTTAGGGAAAGATAATGAAATCTAAACATACACAAGTCCTAACTAAAAATAATAACCGGAACGGGAAACTACTTTAAATACACATGGTGTTCAATTTTTTTTTACTGTATTCAATAAGTAAAAAAATCATAAATTGTAAAAAGATTATTATTACAGAAAGGCTACTAAATGAATAAGATTTGTTAGATCATAATTAATAAACCCAAATAAAGTTAATATTTTTTGTATTAGAAACAACGAGTGGAAAATATATTCAAATCAAAATTCTAATTATGAATCACCACAAGCAAAATATGCAATTTTTTTTACTGTATTCAATAAGTAAAAATCATAAATTGTAAAACTAAAAAGATTACAGAAAGGCTACCTACATTTTTTTCAACCGATTTCAACAAAACAAATGTTTTTTTTTTTTTGGCATGTAGTGTTTCTTATTGTCTTGCACACTTTTTTCTTTATTTTTACATTCAGAATGCTTTAAAAATTCCATTTACAAGACAATTGTTTATAAAAAAATTCTATTCAATCGGTAGACTCATAACGATTGAAAAATGTTTTTGTTTTTTTGGGTTTGACCAAGTTTGTCAATCCGTCAACCTTTAATCTTTTCAATTTTATTTTTCAGTCTTTATGATGGTGGATACTTGATCTATCTCTTACTGTTATATCCCCGGGAAACGCCGGGCTCTATTGCTAGTCGACACTAAAATACACAAAAATATTATATAAAAAAATTATAAAACTCTGCACAACACCATAGAATATATTAGTAAAAAAAGAAAAGAAAAAGACTCCCTAAGAAAAAGACTTCCTAATAAACTTCATCCCCCAAAACGAGTAATTTTTACGGACTACCGAAAATTCACAAATCGAGTGAAATAAAAGCAGCTATCCAGACACCAAAATCTGAATGTATTAACATCCCAAATACCTGTAAGCTTACATTCAGACCCATAGTAACAGGATCAACCTGTTCAACTAGCAAACTCTGTAACTTAATAGACACAATACTAGAACCATTTACCAGACAGATTAAGAGCTATATCAGAGACAATAACCACATCTTTAGCTCCATACCACAAAAAGTAGATCCGGGAACACTCATAGCAACGTTTGACATTAGTAGCCTATATAGCAACATACCCC